CAGTTACCATTATTGCATTGAAATTGTTCAGATGAGCATGTTGGAGCAGCACAGTCGACCTCATCTGAGTTGTCTCCACAGTCATCAGTACGGTCGCATTTCCAACGGGTTGGTATACATTTACCATTATCGCATTGGAATTGTCCAGATGAGCATGTTGGAAGAGCGCAGTCGACCTCATCAGAGTTATCGCCACAGTCATCGGTACCATCACATTTCCAACCTACTAATATACAGTTACCATTATCACATTGGAATCGTGCAGATGAGCATGTTGGTGCAGCGCAGTCGACCTCATCTGAGTTGTCACCACAGTCATCGGCACGGTCACATTTCCAACCTACTGGTATACAGTTACCATTATTGCATTGGAATTGTCCAGATGAGCATGTTGATGGAGAGCAGTCGACCTCATCTGAGCTATCGCCACAATCATCGGTACGATCGCATTTCCAACGTGTTGGTATGCATTTACCATTTCCACATTGAAAATTATTTGGTGAACATGTTTGAGGGGCACAGTCGACCTCATCTGAGCCATCAATACAGTCTGCCGTATCGTCACATTGCCAACCGCTCGGAATGCATTTACCATCGCCACATTGAAACTGGTGGAATAAACAACTCTGATTACCACAGTTTTCCTCATCAGATCCATCTTCACAGTCATCCGTTCCATCACATTTCCATCGCTGTGGGATACACTTTCCGTCATTGCACTGGAATTGTTCTGACGAGCAGATATCACTGTTACAACCTACTTCGTCCGAGCCATCACTGCAATCATTGTTACCATCGCACTGTAAACTAAGTGAAACAATCAATACCGTTAAGTAAAGAAACATATGTTTAACGATATATTCAATACTTAATATGCCTATTCAATAAGCCAATTCGTAGTTAGAACCGTGCATGTTCGTATCCAAGATTGGCAGGGGTTTATCGACATAATCCTATGCTGTGTGTATGGTGTTTATGCCGATTGGCCTGGATGCGGGCAATTCTAACTACGAATTGGCTATTTGCGTGACGACAGATTTTACCGTTGTCACGCAATCGAACATTATACCTATTTATATGACCCTTAGGGCCCGTTCGATCAAAAAACGCCAACCGTATTCCGTTTATTTCACCGGGTAATTGCGCTGAGCACTCAGTGGGTGGTCGACCGTTCGAGCAAGTTTTAGCTCACGGTAAATACGTGAAGTAAATTTCAACTTATCCCATGGTCAACAACCCTTTTTTTTGTTTACTTGCTACTGCTGCTATAACCGGCCCACGTACACACAGCGCGTCACGGTGGAACGATAATGTAGCTCAATAATTCATAATGGCTGCTTTAAAAATCTGTACGTAGGCTAGTTTATTCAAGTTAATTTCTCCGAATGATGGTAAATCTACAAATCAATCGCGTAGCTTAGCTATGCTACTAAATTTTGACTTCGTCGTGCATTTGTGAGGAGGCAATTGAGAACTGCAACCACGCCTGGGCCGTTAAAGCTATTGAATTTCGCGCTGGGCTGTGGGCAAAACTTTTGGAAAAACAATAAGGTTGATTTATCATCGCCTCCGGCTCCATGGTCATTCCATACACGGTATTCTACCCAGCAATTTGGTGGTCAAAATTGTCGCGGATAATCCAGATGGTAAGGTAACTAGACTAGTGTCCGAGCGGTTTTAGAAAGTGTGTACCGGTGAATTAACTGGTAAATCGCACGGATATTTTTTCGCTTGAACAGGCCCTTAAAGACCTAAGGTTTTAAAGCACAGTACTACACTTTGGCTAGGCCCCTATTTGATCTAATGGGTGGTTATAAGTGAACATGAAAACTCACTTGGTGGGTATGCATCTTTCTGGACATGCGAATTCAGATTGTAGACAAACAGGTGATTTAGTTGGGCAGTAGGTTTCATCATTACCAGATGGACAATCTCCGTTGCCATCACAAACTTTCTCAAAAGGGATACAGCTGAGGTCAAAACAAGTGAATTCGGACCCATCGTCTAGACATGCTGCAAAAAAATTGTAGATAAAAATAACTTAAGCCGGGCACTTATTGCGTTGTAAGACGAATCCTTGTGAGCGATAGACATTCGTTCGCTCGCTCGTTCGTTCGTTCATTCATTCATTCTTCAATCATTCAATCATTCATTCATTCATTCAGCCAATATAACATAAATAAGTGAATACAAAACAAATATAAAATTTAACAAAAACTTGAGAATAAATACCCTAAGCTGGCTAGGATTAACGATATAGTGTGAAAAACACGCTGGCTCTCATACTTGGTAGCCCAGTTTTGGAATTTAAGCCAAGTGACTAAAGGAATAAAATAGTTTTAAAAAATAAATAAAAATATGAATACAATTATACAAAATCTTCTATTTAAACCAACTTTGCGAATGTTAGAGCTTTATTGTAATTTTGACAAGCGGCAGTAAGTGTGTATTTTGATAGTAAATAGTACCGTAGCTAAAACATAATTTATAAGTCAACTGATTTTTTTTACGTACGAGTAACAAAACACTCCAGATATAAAGACGGGTTGAACTCAAAACTGCATTGAGAGTACTTACTTGAATCTTACTTGAATCGTCGGGCTCTGAAATAAGGCGTTAGCCTTTTAAACGCCCACTATTTGTATTTGTTTCCTGTTAAAATTGGTAGCTAATTTTTTTTTTTTTTTTTTTGCATTGCCCCATCTTTGTTGAGAAGATCTTTAAATGAGTTTAGGCTTTCTGCTTGTACTGTTTGGTCGTCGAGATTGTTCCATAAATTTACCCTCACACAGAAAGAGTGACTTCTAACATTAAGACGAGCTCGAGGCTTTCTTAATTTAAACTTATGTCCCCTTGTTCTATCGGAATCCATAATATTGAAAAAGGTTCTAACTTGAATATCATCAATGCCATTTACTATTTTGTACACTTGGAGAATATCTGCTCTCTTTCTTCTGAAATCTATTGTAGGTAGTCCCAGTTCCTTTAATCTCAGTTCATAACTTTTATCACTAAGATTTTGTACAATTTTTGTTGCTCTACGCTGCACGAGTCTTTCGATTTTATCAGAGTCCCCTTCTATCATCAGTTGTAGCTATCTCTGGGTGATAAATTGTCTAATAAGTTAATAAATTATTTAAATCTTTGATAATGTTTGATATTATCAACTTATTCTTTGTGATTCAATGTAGATCATTAAAAAATCGGTTGGTTTCTCTGGTTGCTTGAAGTAGGCCTATTCCACATTGTTAATTGTATAATAATATTTGTATGCAAACATAAACAATGTCAATATATTTTAATTTCTATAAAACTTATTATGTTCAAACCCTCGGGCTACAATTCAGCTTCGAGCACTTGCATCTTGATAGGTGTGTACGTCCCTCATCCGGGGCTTGGAGTATGAGCCCAAACAGCACCTCCTACACATTATCTCTTTATAGGTGCCTGATATATTTGGTTTTTTAATATGAATTTAACATTTTCACTGACATTCAGGCATCGGGCCCTCGGGCTACAAAACAAATTCCAGAGAGCTGTATTATGTTACCAGGTATATTATTAAATCAAATGAGCAGACGGCGACCAAATAAAATACAATGTCAATATATTTTAATTTCTATACAACTTTTTTTTTTTTTTTTTTTTTTTTTTTTTTATGTAAGAACACATTTTATAAGAACACTGGGGCTGAAATTGCTTAAAAATTAGGAACAAAATAAGAACAAATTGAGGCTGAGGTAAAATTTCAAATGAAGTTTATATTTTTAAAAACCAAAATATTATATCTGTGCGTTATGGTGTGACTGTAATACCCTCTATAATACAGTACAGTAGGTGTACCTATCTGACTTGGGAGCCATTTTTAGTGGGGTCACTTTCACCTACATTCCAGTACAGTGCATACTGCCGTACAATTAAATAATTTTTTGTTTAAAAGGTGTGTAAACTAAGAACAAAATAAGAACATTTTGAGCCTGAAATCGGCCAAAAAATAAGAACACTGAGCCTGGGCAAACTTTTACTGGTTCTTATAAAAAAAAAAAGTGTATGTTCTGACCCTCGGACTACAATTCAGCTTCGCGCCCTTGCATCTTGACCTTGTACGTCCCTCATCCATGGCTTGTAGTATGAGCCCAAACAAACCTCCACACATAATCTCTTTATAGGTGCCTGATATATCTTGTTTTTTTTTACTTTTTTTTTTAAATATAGGCATAACCAATGTCTATGAATTTAATATTTTCCACTGACATTTTACAAGAAGTCCTCGGGCCCTCGGGCTACAAAACAAATTCCAGAAAGCTGTAATATGTTACCAGGTATATTATTAAATCAAATGAGCAGACGGCGACCAACTAAAATATAAAACATTTCAATGTAGTGAGACAGATCAAAAGTGACTAATTAAACTATGGAACGTATCGCAAGCACTACCAGCAGAATGCTCAATAAAAAGTGTATATACATATATATACATTATATATACATTATATATATGTATATATATAATAAAATAAAACATTGTAAACAAACTTAAAACGATTTTATCTGTATTTATTAGCTACAAACTTGTTTCGTATGACTAGCTAAAAGCTACCCACGCTCATCAGGCATAAATACATAATGAGCGTACAAGGTAGGATTATACACTAATGTTGACAGAAAATTTATCAAATGTTGCCATGTGCATAGATAATTATGATACTTAGTCTATTGTTCAAGTTAGTTGTTGCATAGCAAATGTTTCTTTCTGTGCCTACATGAACTGGCTAGTTCATTTCTGGCTAAGCTATATATATATATATATATAGTAAGCGAACAGTCACTTAATTCATCGTGGGGACTTGGGGTCCAGTTACGGGTGCTCAATCAGTAGAATCAGTTGGAACCATAATGAAAACTACAGAATTCTTTCTATGATACATGAACTGGCTAGTTCATTTCTGGCTACTTATACACATCT